ATTTCGATTTTTCTTCAAATAATTTAAATATCCAGCTCATAAATGTGAGTAACAATATATGTTTGTTTTCCTTTTCGCCGGAAAATTCAAACTGTAATGTCCTTTCTGTTTCTCTCCTATGCGCCGCGCCATTCTTAGTCCCGTTCGAGCCGCGAATGCATAGAAAGGGAATTGGCTGTCGTTTTTATTACACAATTTAATATAATTAATATAATTAATATAATTAATATAATATTTAATATAAATTAATTAAATTAATATAAATTTATATATTTCTCTTTCATATTTGAATGTATTCAACAATTAATTAGTACTGTATTTATTCAAACATGTGTTATTGTTTGAATGTGTGCAAACGTGATCCACAACTCTAATAGTAAAAAAATCGATTTCACGTTTTTCTTTACATGGCTTACGAGTGAAAATTTAGATGATTGTAAAATATATTCCTTCTTAGCTAGACAGACATGGTAGTTGTTAATGAAACGTCTGAAATAGGTAGGTCCGGGTTAATATCTTAAGATATCCCTAGCATGACAATACTATGGGGCCTTAATAGTATTGAAATGCTGAACATAATAGGTATTTAAAATTAATATTAAAATAAAACGTCAGTTATTGGTTTTTAAAAAGATATTTTAATACATTTCTATATTAATAAACGAAAATAAAATATCAGAATGAATAGGGGTCCCTTTAAAGCACGTGCTTAGTTTGCTTGTGCATTAATTTACCCTTCGAACCAGGGAATCGACTCGAGTTGTCCTATTTAATGCATAGCGAACGAGGTGGTCAAAGTTGAGCTATCCAAGGACATATTGTGTTCTAAAAGTGGAAAGCAGAGAAACATTTCATTTATCTTGCTTGTATCTTCAACTGTACTTCGCTTCGGGAAAATGTTTGTTTTCGAGGTTGCTGATATCGTTAATTAGTAAGTTTCAAATAACGATTTAATGAAATAAATAACTGTGTATATACAACATTTAGTCGAATATTTGTTTGCAAAGAACTACAACATTATTTTTACATACGTGTGACATTTTGTCTGCACGCAGACTTACTAATATCAAGCGCTACTGTACTCGTTTTTTATCACATGGTAGCATAAACTGTGTGGTCTAAATTTCTACTCTCTCCTGTGTTTGTCAATCTCATGCAGAAGTGGAAAAATTGCCAAAGCAGAGGAAAGAATATCACATGTCTCATACGGAAAGAAGAGGAAGAAAAATTCGGTGACATCTGAAAAGCTTCTACGAGTAGAATGACATGCAATAATTTGACCGTGAAACATTAAATCGTACAGATGAAAACATCAGTAGTTTTAGTGAAAATTTCATAAATTGTGTTGGCTATTTGTGATAAACTAATAATGACAAAATGATCTTATTATTTAATTGCTGAATTCTACATGACAGAAAATTAACAGATATGCCACTCTTCTGAATAAGTTTATTAGTGCAGATGAACAAACAGAATTCATTTTTTCCCATTTCTAATGAGTATATTAATTTTAAATGAACGTAACATTGGACAAGTGTAATTACAAACTATTGATGTTCTTTCTGAATAATAACGGGCGGAATGGAAATGTTAAGAGTAATGAATGTCTAAGATTTCTTCCTCAAAAATTCACAAAATATGTAAAACATCATTTTTCAAGATTGTATTCGAAATAATTGTATTTTCAAGCTAGTATTTTGTATTGCAAAACACCAATATTTTCCTAAGACAATTTCAATTGTCCATAAAACACACAGGTAATTATTTACGCATTATTATTTTAAAATTTCATCGTATACATATGTGTAAAGACACAACATAGATTGACCAAAGCTCGAAAACTTAACAAACAAGTTTTCTCTATTAAAACCCGTTTTATTCGATATTTCAACATAATTTTGTTATAAAACCAACTTTTTAAACATTATTATCGAAAACTTATGAAGTAATTATTAAAATTCCAAAATCCATTCATCCAACCATTCAAAATTCGCGATTCCAAACTGCGAGGAAATGTGGATGTTGGAAGCGCACCAAGGAGACAGGAAGTAGTCTTCTTGTGTGGGAAAGAGCCTGCGTCTTTACTTTAAAATTTCATTGCATACATATGTGTAAAGGCACAACATAGATTGACCAACAAGTTTTAACAAACTTAACAAAGAATTTTTCTCTATTAAAAACTGTATTATTCGTTATTTGAACATAATTTTGTTGTAAAACAAACTTTTTAAACATTATTATCGGAAACTTATTCCAATCTTTCAGTATTCGCGGTTCCAAACTGAGAGGAAAAGAGGATGTTGGAAGCGCACCAAGGAGGTAGGAAGTACTCTTCTTGTGTAGGAAAAAGCCTGCGTCTCTATGCGGTGGAGCCGATTTCTCCTGTGGGTGAGAGGCTGCGAGGTGGCTGCGCCGCTCAGTTGGGTGCCGGCCGCGTTTTCTCAGCGCTGCGATGGCACGCTGCCAGGGGCGCAGCGGGGGCCGATGCACCTGCAGCGACGCCCCCCACCCCCCACGCGCACACACACACACACACACACCACGTCTCTTAGCTAATCGCTGCAACTCGGATTTCAGATTCTGGATGCAGATAGTTAATGCTTTATTTTACGTGGCGAGACTCGGGCCATCTGATCGAATTTCGCTACGCTGCGCTCGTTTCACCATTTAGAGAAAGGTTTGATTTGGGTGACAAAACAGGCGAGTTTAGAATTTGGCTCAGAGGTTTTTTTATGCTTGTTGTTCTTTTACTTGCAGTGAATCTACAACATGGGACAGATGGCTTTACTTCCCCTCCAAAGAATTGTTTCGCCCTTAAATATCCACTGCTTCGTTCCGATTTGAACCCGCAACTGTCCCGTACGCTAACCGTCGTACCACTATCCTTGCGGAAGGGACTGTGTGAAACTGGCCGTCAGCCCATCGCTCGGCCCTAAGGACGGGAGCGGGTATACCAAACTACGGAAACGACCAGTCAAAGAAGTAGTCTACAATTCTCATCCGGACATCAGGCGAATTTCGACCCATATATTCTCTATGCGTTTCAATGCTGGTAGCAGAATTTCTAAAAGATGTAATGGAGCCAGCCCCCACGTTCCAAACTAGTATTACCACTTTACTTTACTCATTTGTTCCACATCGGGGAGACTGTACGTGATCTCCGACAACATTGTCATCATGATCCCTTGTTACTGCAGAAACAGAAGGCTCTCAAGAGATACCCTTACAAGAAACCCCACGAGGATATCCAATGATCCACTTCTTGGACGATCTATTATAGACAAAAATGCAATATATTTTTATAATTTGTACGGATCCAGTGAATTTTAAAGCGTTTCTGTAATATTCGTAAGTCCTCTTATACCTTCAAGCATATACCTTCTGGCTTATTGGGAACGGTTACGTAATGCAAATGTTGCAATTTTTGTCCTACTAACACTTCAATCTTCACTTGAATAATTCCAAACTAATTCAAACGAAGTGCCAATCTCATAATATTTCGACAGCCATGGACAGTATTTTTTTTCTTCTACAAAACAAAACAAAAAACATGAAAAAAGAACTATAAGCACACACACAATACTTTGACTGTAGTCTCAGCGTATGCAGACAACCAAGAATAATTTCATACAAAATTCCCTTTCAACAAGCCTTGATTACATCTATGTGAGATTGTAATTTTTTAATGATTACACCATAATCAGCTATCAAACCTGTTTAAAGAAAAATAAGTTTATAAATTAAAATTCCAGTGCTGAATGCCATCAAATATATCTCCTTATGAATGCATAAAAATAAGGATAGAAATTTATCGTCTCTTATCATGAAATATTACATCTAGAACACAATAGAAATATGTGTTCAAAAGCATATACAGTAACACAGATTCAACAATCAAAACATGCGTTCTATACTGCGACAAAGAGTTGTTGCTTAACTATGAAGTCAGTTCATGGAGTAATGCCAATGCAGCGTTGCAATTGAGGCCGCTTACGGTCTGATATTAATATTTATAAACATTTCTGAGTTTTCAAAACAATTTCTGAATGCCTTATGAATGATTTGTGTGCATGACTACATCATATTCTTTGAAATAAATAATAATGCCTAATCACAAGACAATCACGTGGTTGCATTGTCTTGAAGATACTTTTGAGGCTTTCCTTCGTCAGTTCTGCGTCTGAATTTAAAAGAGCTATTTTAGTTCGCGCGAGCTAAAAATGTTTGGTGCTTTCACGTGGGTGGCTGGTTTTAATACAGTGTTATAATGCAGATGTCTTTATTAGTTTGAGAGCATTATTTGTCTGATCACTAAAGGATTGTATGAATTACGTACTTTTTCTTATACTTGCATAATTCTTGCATACAATGCATAATTTATATACATAGAAATGTATGTAATAGAAACTTAGTTTTCTATATCGTTAGAGATGAAATTTCGCTCATTCCTCCATAGAGTTCTAAAAAGTGAACATTTTTATTTAAAATTAATTTCTAAAAAGTAAAATCAACAATGTTGAAATAACACATTTAGGAACGTTAATCTGGAATATAAAACCAATCAAAAGCATTGTATTTCATTAACTTTTTATTTGAACATTGATTATGTAGAGGATCATTAGGGACAAATGTGTAACTCTCGTTCTTTCTCAAGAATGATCTGGAAAGTTTATTCTTTAACCTAATAATTTTCTTAGTTTCGTGTCAAGCGACGACTATCAATGTAGGCAAAAGTGCCTGCCATCTACTACTTCGAACTTAATTAGCACATTCTTTGCATGCAACCAGGAGACATTCCCGTTCGTTCTCTTTTTTCTTATTAAAATGAGACAGGGTCTGGCTATTGCTTGAGTACCGACGCGAAACTGATAAACACGAAGTCATTGTCTCGACGACATTGTATTTACCAATTTACAAAACGCCATTATTTTGCTGCAAATAGGCTGATACAATCAGTAATAGGCTCTGTTTCTAAATATTTAAAAGCGTATTTTTTGTAGAAGCAGAGTGAAGGGGAGAGAGGAGGAAGGGGAAGGAGAAGAGGAAGAAGTGAAAGGGAGACAGAGGGAGGAGAGGGAGACAGAGGGAGGAGAGGGAGACAGAGGGAGGAGAGGGAGAGGGAGAAGAGAGGGGGAGAGGGAGAGAGAGGGAGGAGAGGGAGGAGAGGGAGAGGACAGGGAGAGAGAGAGGAGAGTGAAAGGGAGTGACTGTGTGTGTGTGTGTGCGTGCGTGCGTGCGTGTGCTTCCTCGTTTCCAAAGAACACGCTTCCAAGTCGTGCGTCACGTCAGCGTGGGTTAAACGCGCCGTCTCGGAGGCTGCGGACGCTCCCCTTCGCGGGCCCTTGCCAGGTGGCCGCGTGCTCCGTTGGCGCGAGGCCCCGGCGCGGCGTCACGCGCACGCCACGACGCAGTGCGCGGGTCGCGTGGCCGCTGCCTGCGCGTCGACACATCGCTGAGCCAGCGCCTTTGTCGCAGCCACCGCCCCACCGCCTCCGCCCGCGGACCCGCAGCGAACAGCGCGCCAACTTCCCGGCTCTGGCGGCTAGCGGCGCACATGTTCCGCCCACCCCAGTGGCATTTGCGGACGACACAGTGCATTCCCCTGCCTCTCATTCTGCCCTCCTCTCCATCTTCATTCTCATTACTCCCACCATCATACGCTGTTATAGGAATTCAAACGCTTTACCGGGAAGGCTTGGCGTCAACTACCCTGTAAATAGCATTGTAAATAAGAATATTAACATTTAGTATTAGATTGCAGTATTGTAAATAATTAGATTCATGTACTCATGTTTAAAAAATGCAGTTAGATGGTTATGGAAGTGTAGAAATGTTGATACGACAGTTATATGAAGCAGAGAATATAATTAGTTTGGAATTAACAATAAATGTATTGTGTTTTCGATGTTTAACGGTAAAATCACAGTAATGTTGGAAAAACAACGATTTGGGAAAGGGACTTGCACTCGCGGTCGGACCAAGAAGGCTGCAAGTTTTCACTTGCGATTGCTGGTTTCTTTAAATATAAGAGAACACAATAAACACGTATAAAGGCGCATTAAAATGAATATCACACGGAAAAATACATTGAAGGATGTCCCCGCTCTCCCTGGCGATCTGCCCTCGCCGCCGCCGACTCTCGTTTCGCTGGCTTCCGTACGAACTCCCCCACGCCGCTTCGGAGCTAGGGACGTTGTCGCTCTCACTGCCGGGAATTTAAACCAGAAAGTCACCAATTCACCGACGTACACCGCGAAACACCACCGCATCGACTCTACGATTCCCTCAGGCCCCTCGCTGACGCCGCTGCATCCGAAGCAGGAATGCCAAGAAACGGGCAGAATTTGTGTGGATTTTGCTTTCAGTTATCGCTTGCGACTGGACATCCAATAATTTGACGATAAGAGCTTGAAGATATTTCATTAAATCAATGGTGATGGACCAACGATGCAATGATGGGTGCATTAACCTGCATTGTTTATCGCAAATTACCCATGGACTGATCCAGAGTGGATGCCTCTCTCTTTTCCTCTGTTCTCAAATCTAAGGTAAGCTAGCAAAGGTAGCCGCACTACTAGGTGTCACGTAATTGTTATCATCCCTTCTTCGACCACACCTGCCGTCATTCCACACGACTGTATCTTCCACCGACGCACCGCTTTCCTCCCATTCCACTGGCATTCCTTTCCGCCCGCCCTGCCAGCACCGCGGACCACAGCCACCGCCAACCACTCAGGTTTAAAGTGGCGCCGCGAACGCACGGCCAGCGTGCCGTGGGGCGCCGCCCACGTGCCAGCGCCCGCGGCGTCAACCACCCCGCGTCGCGGCGCCGGGGCTCGCGGGGCGCCTATTTATAACCGCGACGCCCCGACCGTCGCCGCCGCCTCCGCAGTCGCCGCCGCCACGCCCCCGCCGCCGCCGCCGCCGCCGCCGCCACCGCCGACACCGCCGACGCCGCCACCTGGTGACGCACAGTGCGACGGTCCAGGGCGCGCGAGGGAGCAAATGGGCTGAGATCAGATTGCGTTTTCATTTAATCGCCACTATTCATTTGCGTCCAATTTAAAAGCGAGAGCGTAGGCTTCTGCGGCTGGAATTTACTTGGCTGTCCGGGTGACGCCGCGTCCATGGCGAAGGTGCCGCCATTTCGGTCGCCATTCTGCGACCTTCCCCGGCTTTACGCCCTGAGGAAGGTCGCAGAATGGCGACCGAAATGTCGGCACCTTCACCATGGACTCGGCGTCACTCGGACAGCCGAGTAAATAAATTTAAAAGCGGATAGGCTACATGGCTGTTCAGCCCCTGAACCTGCCTGGCATTTAGGCCTGCTACAATCTGCGATTGGTACTCGACGGAATATCAAAGTGAGGGAGGAAGTTCACTCAAAGAGTCCCTTACATGAGTAAGATCTTGAAGCGCATCATAGTAAAACTCAATGCATGATAATATATAATGATATAACGAAGAGCTAATAAGCAGATACTTAACGCAATTTCTGTGTTTAGTGTACCACAAAAACAACTGCGACTTTAACCGAGAAGCTTTGTTGTTGTTGTTGTTGTTAGCGGTGGTGGTGGTGCTGGTGATTGTAATTTTTAGCCTGTCGGTGATGGAAAAGCCGATGACAGGCAAAGACGTTTTATCCCGGCAATATTATTTCTCTTTTTCGTCACGCACGCTCGTTGTTAATGTTTACTAAAACACTTGTTTCTTCTAGTTCTAAATCACGATATTAAAATTAAGATTTCTGACAGGTTGTCTGGTTTTACATTTAAGAGAGTCTAGTTTGAAGGATTCGACTCACACATTAGTTAAGTATACGTATGACTGATCTGGTAGATTGACATTGCTTTTCAGACGGTAAACTATCAATGAATCGTCTCGTTACTCGCTGTGATATAGAAAGTTCAAAACCGAAAGGTGATATAATAGTGGTATCAAATGTTAAGATAGTCGCTTGCTTAGCTTCTGAACATTAACTGTATAGTTTGTCTTTTCCCCAAACGTCACAGATGATTTTTATATTTTGGATAATTAATTAGGGATTCCAGAAATAATAAAACGTGCACAGAATACATTTCACCCTGTAGCATGTCACATGCAGTTTTGTTTAACTGATTTGACGTAAAGTATGTAAATAAACACATATATTATCCATAAAACAGGACTTTTATGAGTCCAAAACGAACACTTACAAATGTACTTACCAATGGTCGCTTATTCTTCATTGTAGGCAATAGAAAAAATGAAAATGACTTTACCTAACCAACAATCATTCAACGCAAACAAATAACAAAGAAATTTATTAAACTCAAATTTATTAGAAGTTATAATAAATTTATATAATGCCTTTATACTTCAAATATATTTATTTACGAGTAGCGCTTAAAATGTTAACTTCTGAAATAAAATACTCTAAAGTGAAATGGCTTACATGATATTTACTTTCACGGGAAACTAAACCGATTTAAATGGATTTGTATTCTTCAAGAATGCCTTTGTTCGTGAGTGCAAGAATTCCCACTTTCCCACCAGAACATGATTTACATCAGATTTCAATTTAAATATTGCCTTGTGTTCTATTGAGGTTTGCATATTGTAAATGAGGACGTGATTGTCGAAGTAGCTTTGTGTATCATACGTTTTTACATCATCAGTATGACTGTCGTATATTATAACGAGGGGTGCAGAAAAGAAACAAAAAAACAATATCATTCTCTTCGAATGTTAAACGCACAAACTCGGTTTATACGTAGTGATTATAATGTACCCTGCACGGCAGCAAACCTTAAATCTGAGAGTAACCCCAACGCAAAGGAGTGAGAGACTTTTGCTCAGAGTCGAAGATTCTGATATAAACGAACAGGTGTGCAAAAATGGTGAATATGGGATGAGAAAGCAGCAAAGGAGAAAAAGAAAAGTGTGCAGCTTTCCCGGTGTCTTCTGTAGCCGAATTTCCGCTTCAAGAGTTTACTTAACGGTTAAGCCTGGAGAAAATTCTCTGCCGCAAAGCTGACGTAGAAACGTTCAATATTTACGAAATTTTAGCACAAAAGTATCTATTCACATTATGAATGAACTCTGTCGCGATAACATCGCACTTTAGTATTCAGAGGGAGAATTAACTTTATTTATGACTACGTACTACATCGTACTAGTAGTTTGCCATTACCTTCATATCATAGAAGCAAAGGTAAATTCCGTAAGTCTCTCCGCAGATTGGAACATGTGGTGCCGGGCAGTGCAATTCGTGCCGATCATGCCATCTCAGACACCTACAATGTGAGTGTTTATCGGCCACCGAAATACCATTCTTCAATCGCAACTCCTCTTTAACATTATATTTCTCTTTAACAAATATATTCTCCGCCCCATAATAACTTACGCATACCGTGCGTGAGTTTCTGCTGACCCCAAGCCCTCTTAATAAATTACAAATCTTTCAGGATATAATCGTATGAATGTCTCCTGGTTTGTCAATAAAAAAATACTACCCAATGACTTTCCAACACAACCAGTTACTCTCTTTTTGTTCCGAAACTGGAACATAATGTCTTCAATAATTCAAATCACTTACAAGAAGCAGTAACTTTCGATACAGGAACTGATCAACCTTTTCTCTCTCGCCTAAGACACAGACTTCCATTTCACATTTTCCCTCACAATCTCACAGACATTAGGTTAGGGTAGAGTATTTCTTACATTTACTTGTCTCACCCACCGTATACTTATCTAAACCCATAACATCGCCCTATAACTGCTGCTTCAGAATTATCCTCTTAATAATCTTGGTTGGAGGTTTCAGCTAACGAAATTACTATCAGGGAGGTGACAAGTAACCCCCTTCATACTTCACTGGCACAAAATTACTAGACCAATAAATTTAAGATCTTCGCAGTCGAACGTTGTACTGACTGTCACTCTAAAACAAAATTCAATTAAAAAACAAAACGCCATTCTGCTGACCGAGACGCATTTCAAACCGCCCCGCGTCATCCCGTCCTTGAGCCACTGTACGGGCTTTACATCAGACCGCTCTGACGTTCGGCGGGCAGGTGGGCCAACCTGCGATCGCGCAGCTGCCGCCACACGGCTACGCAACAGAGCTGGTCGGTGGTGGAGAGAGGAGGGCAGTGGCGGAGGCGGTTCGACGGCGGGCGCCTGCCTGGTGCACCTGAGCGAGCACCACCACACCACCCACCACCAGC